CACACAGACGACCCCGTAACAATATGCGTTTTGTACTGCTGTTACACAGCACAAAACGCAAAAAAAGTAAAAGTCAAGACGTTACGTTTGCTGGAACACACTTCCAAAGGCGCTGCACAATCGTCTCGATGGCGATAATGGTACCTGTCCGACCAATTCCAGCTGAGCAGTGTAAGACACACGGTCTACCCTAAATATTCAGCAAATTTCAAGAGTAGTTAATCGAGGGTACGATCCGTAAAAATTTTGCAGCTCATGCAAAGAGAGGCCTTATTTTTACGAATTTGTAAATTGTTCAATGTCAAAAGTCAAAAATCCCTCCGTATTCACTTACTATGAGAAGAGAAGAAGCTCGGAGTTAGCTCATAACCGAGAAGTATGCATTTCGAAAATAATATATGCTGGAGTCGTGAAAAAAGCAAGCTACAAATGAAAATGATCAGAAAATTAAAAATTCTGAAAACCCACGTCCAAAGTGTTTCCGCATTTGAGCAGTATCAAAAAATCCTCTAGAGATTAATCAGGAAATTTGGAGGCAAGTTTGAGGAAAAATTTTTACTTCATTTTTTCTTCATTCTTTTTGTCTTCCTGCTTTTTGCCTAAATCGCTGCACGCATTTGTTTTAGGTCTGGCGTCCAGAAATATGTAAATACAATTAGAGATTTTACAGGTTCGATGAGTCGAAGAAGTCTCAGGACGCTACGACCACTGGCTGGTACTCCCCGGTCTGGCCAATCCGTCATATGGAGCAATGTCAAAATTATCGAATTCGAGCAACCATCCGGCAATATTTCCAAAACGTACGACATAAATTTATCTTTGCATTCGACCTAAATACGACAACGTTGCCTTATTTTGTCTGAAGAGGAAACCACACATGACAAGCAATTCCAGTCTAGCTGGAACGCCAGCAAATCTAAGTAGTAATTGCATTTTGTGATCCAAAAATTACCGCAGATCTGTTATATAATACTTTGTTTTTTGTTTAATCAGCTACATTATTTTATAGCTTAGTTCTTCAGGGTTGCATCTGGCAACTTTTCAATTTGCTTCGATCAACGCTGCATCACCTGATGGTCAGCGTGCTAGCGACCCTGACTCTTGTCCCATCACACAGAAGTATGCAGAGCCATGAAAGGTATATAGCCCCAGGGGATATTTCCCTGTGATTAAAAGGATTGGATTTCCCATTCAATCAACAACGAGCCAGCGAAGCTTAAGCCTCAAGAATTTTCTTGTTATCGAATTTTTTGCATTTTTTGGGCACCAAACTCCTCATTTGGATCTTTTGCTGCACTTTTGCCCAAAGTTTTGCCAAGAAATTTGCGCTTTTTCTGAAACCGGTCAATCTCCACGAATAACAAAAAAGCCCTTGTCCTGGCCAACTCACTCTTTTATTATTGACGAACATGGAGCCATATGTTTTATAACTTCCTTCCACTAACGGCCAGTACTGAGCGCTTTTCGGTTTGCCATGTTCCTCACATTTACACAGCATTATGATCGTTGCGACGTTCTCTTGATAGCAGAGGCGCCAGAAATCGCTTATCGTCGAATCAAGAGGCGCCTGAGTTTGATTTTTT